ACTAACAATAGATATGTGCACCCTACTCTCACAAATGAGTCCCAAAGAGGGACAGAACAGCCCAAATTACTGAGGCAGAAGGCGACCTCTTAAACACTTAAAGAAAAACAAGAAGCTACTACTGTTAATTTCATGACACATTTTAGGCCAGGGGTTGATGGACACATTAATTTCATGATTTACAGTATGCTTTCATCAGTACATGAACCATTACTATTGCATTGATTTGATAAAAGTTCTAAATATTTAATGTTTGAGTATAAATAAATCAAGTACCGGTACCATAGAAAGGCTTATTCTCACCTTCGATTAGATGGAGGTGGCTTTCTCTGAGGACGTACTGCAGCCATTACTGAGATGAAAATTCAGTAACTATACACATGACAGTTTATAATTCTTGAGAATTAAGAGATTATCAGTTATATTACCAACAATGTCAGTCACAATAACATCTATGAGCTCATCTTGAAGAGGGCAAGTCAGAATTCTAAACCCCTTCATACTGGGAACATTCACATCTCTGTCATCAATCCTTCCACAAATCCTTCAACAGTGCCAGATGCACTGGCCTTCCTTCAGCCTAACACCAAGATATCAGTACAGTTATGTGTAAGAAACTTAAAAATGCAGGAGTGTTTCTTTGCTTTGACATATTCTCATGAAGGGCCATCAAATATTTGTTGTCAGCCCTGACCAAGCTTGAGTCCCTGAATATTCTCATTTATTACACCCAGGTAGCTGACTTTCACTGATTATTGCATTTCTCAACTTGTCAAGGGGTTGTGTCAAACTTTATTTCTTCTTTAATATAAATGTTTGTTAAAGTCTGACATTAAATGTGATGATGTTGAGCTCCAACTCTAAAAACAACGAACGGAATGATAGTTTTATTCAATTGCTTTTTTGTCTTACAAAAAGATTTTAGTAGATTTCAAGATATAGTTACTTCAGAAGATAAATGATAAAATTTTCATGTTTAATACCAGTAAGAACAAGGCACATATGAGTGGTGTGCTGGCAATAAAATGTAAGATATGCAACCTTAAACTTAGCAGATATCCATTATGTGTTTTCAGATTTGTTGGTTTTATTGAGTATTCAAAGCTTCTGGCTAATGCCTTTAGTTTCAAATGAAATTTTTGGGCATTGAACACACCAAAACCCCCAACTCTGAAAACACACAGTGATAATTGACATTGTAAAATACAAAAGTAATCTGTCTAACTACATGAACTCTCACAGTTGTAGACATGACGTCATTCTGGAAAGCAACGATTGGTTTTTGGTTTGGGTTTGTTGTTTAACGCCGCACTCAGCAATCTTCCAGCTATATGACGGCAGTCTGTAAATAATCGAGTCTGGACCAGACAATCCAGTGATTAATATCATGAACATCAATCCACGCAATTGGGATCGATGACATGCATCAACCAAGTCAGCGAGCCTGACCACCCGATCCTGTTAGTCGCCTTTTACAACAAGCAAAGCCACCTTTACTGCAAGCATGGGTTGCTGAAGACCTATTCCATCCCGGAATCTTCACGGGTAGGAAAGCAATGACGTCACATGCTTCTATGGTAACTGTACTTGCCTGGCTAATGTGAAAAAACAATCAGAGCTAAATCAAAGTTGTTCATATAAATTATATTGATCAAACTTAATATTTAATTAAGGTGGAATTCATTTGCCAAGCCAAATGACATGTTTTTCTGATTTGGGATTGATACAAAACAACTTATCATCCAAAACTGGCTGCCACAGGAGATATCCTTGGGTGAGATCAAGCCATATCTACATTGTAGATATCACTGCAATGAAATTGCATCACAATGCTTTGCAGACCATTAAGATCCCCCCTGGCGTTACTTGAGTGAATTCTGGCAGCTGAGAAATCGTAAGTTTTTCACCCTAGTTTGAGTTAGTTTAGTTTTTTCTTATATATATATATCTTTTTTTCTTTTTTTTTTAAGTATGTGACATCATAGTGAGTGAGTGAGTGAGTGAGTGAGTGAGTGAGTGAGTTTGCACAATATTTCAGTTATATCACAGCATGTCAGACAGATGTGTAAGGAAAGTCTGAAGTGATGCAGGTCTCAGACGTTATCACTTTGGTGAAACCCACAGAAACAGGTTTGTGCTGAGAAACCTAGAAATATAATCAGAGCAAACCAGGATAAGGGAACAGCAAATTGTGGCCCATTAGGAAACCGGACCATCTGTGTCCACAACAGATCTTAAGACATTACCTCAGGATCCACCAGTCTGTAAATAATCGTGTCTGGACCAGACAACCAGTGAATGACATCAGAAGCATCGATCAACACAATTTGGATACGATGACATGCATCAACCAAGTCAGTGAGCCTGACCACCCGATCCGGTTAGTTGCCTCTTATGACAAGCATAGTCACATCTTATGGCAAGCATGGGTTGCTGAAGACCTATTCTCTACCCGGATGTTCACAGGGCCAATGTATATATTATAATACACACCTGATCAACTATTTGAAAATGACAATTCTCATGTTGATATGCCCTCTCACTCACATGATGGCTTGAGTTACCTACCCCACAAAGGGTGGTATTTCAGACCATAACTTGCTGCTAGAGCCATATTATACCTGCACACCTAACAAGGCAGGTCTGACAGGGCTGTATAAAACTCACAATGCTATCACCATCACTGGGGGGAACTCAGGTCGAGTTTCATCACACACACTTTGATGTTATCAGCTTGAATACCTCAAGTCAAGTGCATGATATCTGAACATAATGATTGATGGAAATATTCCTGAGAAATTACCAGGGCTGGTCAAATACACATCTATCAACCAGATAGTCAGATATTAACTTTAGGCACATAGATACTTTTGATGAGGATAACCAGATATGTCTTCCTATTAAATATAGACATTATGAAAATCAGTTTTGTGTATTATGGAAAGATAAAAAAAAATTGCTCCATGATACACATATTTATAACAAAGATAACAAAGAATGATAATTAGTATATAGTAGTCTGCTCCAAACCAAATTGGGCCTACAAGCTTTGAAACTTCAGCCCTCTAAGAAGCGACCATTTTGGTGGCCAAATGTTACTGAAATCTATGTTTGTCAACCTAAAAACTGTCTACTGCTTGCCACTTGGCAACTTAAAAGTAAACATAACTGAAAACAATAATATCTGTTTAATATATCTGTTGGCTCCTAAAAACTTAGGTTTGGCTCCTAAAATATTCATGTGGGGAGCCATATGGCTCCCGAAAAAAACCATATACGTTATTATATTATGTTATGAGCTTACAATACTCAACAGAATTTGACAAGACTTGTGGTTGAGACTTGTGGTTGAGACTAGTGGTTCAGACTAGTGATTTGCTGACTGGTATTGACTCTCATTAAGTACATTGCCTACAATTACAAGAAAAACTGTATAACTGAATGCTTCTGTTGGGTCTCAGCTGAGCCCCTTAAGTTTCTCCCATTGATTTGTTATAACAAAAATGGTGTAAGGTACATTCCAGAACAGTAGACATATCATCTGGTTCCCTGACTGACATGGGCAATTTGATAGTTAACTACACGGGAAATTATTGTATCAACAATCTGCCTGTGTAGCAGGGCTTGTACCTGATACATGTATTGAGGTCTGTGTACTGTGTTGAGTGCCATGACTGCAAGTGATCCTAACATTGACATATGACTGAACACCCATGTCACTACTGATAAGTGATATTTCTTCTTCAATGTCTACTACATTATTCACTGCAATAAGTGCCTTGGGTGTTAAGAAAGTGACAAAGGGGTCCACTTGTTAAAACAATTAACAAGCGGTAGTGAACAAACTCCTACACTTCTGTTTCCTGCAAATTAAATCTGATACATACACAAGAGAGTACGAAATGTCAAGAAAATCTATGCCTTTGTTGGGGGCGCTTATTAAGGTAACTTACTCAATTGGTCCTGAAGTTTGAGGGAGCTTAAAGGGCATTTAATAGCAAATACAGAGAGATATGTGCCAGCTATCACAAAACTGACTTAGAACAGTTCAGTAATGACATTTACATCTCAATAATCTTGACATTTTCATGACAAAAGTCTGACTTCATCAATGGATAAAACAGATATATATATGTGTGTGTGTGTGTGTGTGTGTGTGTGTGTGTGTGTGTGTGTGTGACATTCATCCTTCACCTTCACAGTCAAATAGTGTAAGTAGTTTCTCCAAATAGAATTATTTGATACAATTAAAATTATACTATTATGATAGCAATAAAACAAATACCAGGTAGGGTTAACACAGCCTGCTCTTCACACACGTTTGCTCTCAGATACTAAGTCTTTCAGAAACCTAAAAAATTGTGCCATGGCTCTGTAGTTAATCTGGTTATAAAATATTACATTGAACATTGACATCTAAACTGGACCAGGTGTTATATTGTATACCATTGCTAACATGGTTCCTCTTGGTCTTGTACATTTTAAACAAACATTCTAGAAAAAGGTGTTTTTCCACATATTGAGTTAAACAGTTTCTCAAAAGAATTTCTTTGAGAAATTTGTTCACAGTGACCGAAATTATGTGCTGATAATGCTGATTTAATCGAACTAGAAATTTTACAAGAACTTTGAAAAATAAAGACTTCCTACCATACAATTGACAATCTGTGAATGACACTTCTTCCAGAAGGCCAAGTCAAATCAAGTTTCTATTGGTTAATATACACTACAGAAAATATCTTGTTCAAAAAGTAAAATCTTTGATAATGAACATGGTCTGGTAAGTAGATTGAAAAGTTCCTACCATTATCTAATATGACTCTCAAAAACATAATAATTAACTGACATTTCTTGTAAGGAGTATATAAATTCTTAACATCTTCCCATCTTTTCTACTGTACCCGACCCTCCCACACACACCATCACACTGAACCCCTTCTCACTGTGTTTAAAATTCCAAACACATAAAATTGAACAATGAAGACGTCACTGTAACTTACTCTTGTGACCATGCAGGTTTGGGTATATTTAAGTCAGTTGCGTAGGGGTAATTTAAAGGTCCTTGTCTTCGTGCCATGCCCAAGGTGGTAGCTGCCATAAGAATACACAACCATATCTCTCATCATTCCAAGAATTGCACTGTTGGTTCCCCATGGCTTAGAAATGGTTGTATCACATCATCAGGTGTGTAGCGTCCAACACACATGTAACATGACTCGCTGCACTGAGAGCCTTCTGCAACAAACCAGTCTTCACTCTCATCAGATGTAGACATGGCCATGAATATCCATCAAAGCCAATCAAATTACTTTAATTCCTAATTAGCATGATAACTTGGCAGCAGCAGCAGCCAAACTCTGTGACGGTTGGCCAACAAAACATACAGTATGATAAATAAGATTTGACAATGGGAGCAGTATAATTCCCACAGGCCTTTCCGATCAATGCAGAGTAGAATGGCTCTCAGAGACACTCAATGTGGAGGTTGAAAACACATGTATTGATCTGTCCTCGGCATCTAGCGACACTTGACGATAAGGTATGTTCTCTGAGCACCCAGCAATGTATGTACCCGAGGTGGCTGGCTGCGATACACACAGCCTGCAGCTACACACAGCTACAGGCTGGCTCAGTCAGTACTACCAACCTGGCTCAGGTGGACATTACCTAATGCTTTCACAGGTGCACACTAACTTGATGTCTCAGGTGGACAGAAACTTGATGTCTCAGGTAGACACTAACTTGATGTATCGGGTGAACACTAACTTGATGTATCAGGTGCACACTAACTTGATGTCTCAGGTGGACAGAAACTTGATGTCTCAGGTAGACACTAACTTGATGTATCGGGTGAACACTAACTTGATGTATCAGGTGGACACTAACTTGATGTCTCAGGTAGACACTAACTTGATGTATCAGGTGGACACTAACCTGATGTCTCAGGTGGACACTAACTTGATGTCTCAGGTGGACAGAAACTTGATGTCTCAGGTAGACACTAACTTGATGTATCAGGTGAACACTAACCTGATGTCTCAGGTAGACACTAACTTGATGTATCAGGTGAACACTAACTTGATGTCTCAGGTAGACACTAACTTGATGTATCAGGTAGACACTAACTTGATGTATCAGGTGCACACTAACTTGTTGTCTCAGGTGGACAGAAACTTGATGTCTCAGGTAGACACTAACTTGATGTATCAGGTGAACACTAACCTGATGTCTCAGGTGGACACTAATCTGATGTCTCAGGTGGACACTAACCTGATGTATCAGGTGGACACAAACCTGATGTCTCAGTTGGACACTTACTTTATGTATCAGGTGAACACTAACCTGATGTATCAGGTGGACACTAACCTGATGTCTCAGGTGGACACTAACCTGATGTATCAGGTGAACACTAACCTGATGTACCAGGTGGACACTAACCTGATGTCTCAGGTGAACACTAACCTGATGTCTCAGGTGAACACCAACTTGATGTCTCAGGTGGACACTCACTTGATGTATCAGGTGAACACTAACCTGATGTACCAGGTGGACACTAACCTGATGTCTCAGGTGAACACCAACTTGATGTCTCAGGTGGACACTCACTTGATGTCTCAGGTGGACACTAACCTGATGTACCAGGTGGACACTAACCTGATGTCTCAGGTGAACACCAACTTGATGTCTCAGGTGGACACTAACTTTATGTATCAGGTGAACACTAACCTGATGTATCAGGTGGACACTAACCTGATGTCTCAGGTGGACACTAACTTGATGTCTCAGGTGGACATTCACTTGATGTATTAGGTGGACACTAACCTGATGTCTCAGGTGAACACAATCTTATACATGAAGTGGTGGGTTGGGATAAATTCCGTTACTATAAATAAAATTCCAGAACAACTGTACCACTACAGGTTGTGAGTTAAAACAAGCATGACAGTAACTCTGGAACTAGTAGTAGTGATGTTTGATGTGATTCCAAGCCGATGGACGCAAATAAAATCACAGGGATTGACAATTCTGCGATATTCTTGTGCACAGTTATCATAGATATCGCATCCACTTTCATTCAAACTGTTACACTTTCAAGGTGGGTTGAGGTGAAATGGGGTTTAACGTCGCGTCCAAGATTAATTCCTAATTAGCATGATAACTTGGCAGCAGCAGCAGCCAAACTCTGTGACGGTTGGCAAACAAAACATACAGTATGATAAATAAGATTTGACACAGATTATTGCACTTATATATAGCGACATGCATGTACGTGTATGTACGTGTGTGTGTGTGTGTGTGTGTGTGTGTGTGTGTGTCTGCTTGTACTAGTCCAGACTGATGCCAATTTATAGTGCTAGCCCACTGAGATACCATGCCGCAGTTTAACATGAATACCCCACTCAGACACAGTATACTGACTCCGAGCCAACCAGTCCTTGTTTTAGCCCCTTAATGCCGAGCGCCGAGGGTAACGACAAGTACCATCTTTTATCGTCTTTTGGTATGAAGCGGCCGGGGATCAAACCCCGGACCTTCCGTACACTTTCAATGTTTCATCTACATTGATGCTCATATTTTCTCTTACAAAAATAAAAAGTGTTGTATTGTCACTTAAATCCTACCAGAAATTAAGAAAACAAGACAATAATGGGTAAAGTTTCAAAAAGCAAGCAAATTTTAATTTTGGATCTAAAATTCTTTCTTCAAAATAATATACAAATTTCAGATCACAAATCGTAGTTAAGATGATATTCGCCTAGCCTTTAGGTACCGTTAAGACAGCACTGGTGGAAGAGTCTTCACAAATGTATCCTCTTGCAAGAATGTCCACCGTGCGCGGATTTTCTAGTGGTCAAACATCAAGTTGAATTTAGTTAGAATATAGAAAATGCTACGATAAGTTTGTTTGAAAAATGTGACTGAATCATTCAAATGTAACTCATAAACATCGTGAATGTCAAAAGTGTTTTCAACTTCCGGTTACTCGTCAGCATTTTCTGACTGTAGCATAAGGCCAACTCGCTGCCTTTTGTGGGAAATAAATGATTTAATTGCTGTTAATTTAACAAAAGAGTGAACCTGGAAAAATTCTCACTTCATAATGAATCTGTAACAGAAATTTACAATACCGGTAGTCACTTTTTCATGTCTTATCACTTTGAATATATTCAAAACACACATTGTCAAAGACCTACAGAAATCTGTTAATGGCAGAATGAAAAGATGTCTGCTGATAATTGTATTTGCGAATAATTCCTCGTCAGTCACCAATGAACAGAAATACATAAATATTAATGTAATTAGTATTTTATTTCAGTTGACAGTGCTCATTGGATAAGCAAGAATATACCAATATAATCTAGTAACATAAATTGCATCATTGTTTTGAGTCAAGTACAGTTTCCACAAATCTACAATTCCAAGACTAATGCTATGACTTGTACATATTATAATAGTTATTTGATAAAAGATAATTTCAAATGTTTTTGTCAACCTACACTATTGGCTTGACTTCTTGATTTTACCAGTGGCTACTTGGTAAAAATGTAAACTTTGAGGCCTGTTTTATACAGTGGTGGGTAGGGATAAGGGTTAAGGTTGTATACATTGAGTGTTAATGTCTGATACAATTCCTCTTTTGACTTGAAACAAATGTTCCTGGTTTTAAGGTGAACAATTGACTTGCCTTTGCAAGTGTTTGCGACTCAGGTGCCACCAATGGGGCAGGATATGCTTTCATTTACAGCAACACTTGGTATCATCACTGTTGGAAGTCATTCATAAACACATGCTCATGATATCCCGGTAATCAGAATCGCACAATCGACTTTGATTTTTATGATTATGTATTTGTTTCCATAGAGTGATAGTTTGTTTGTTTGCACAGTCTAATAATCTGTTTAGCCTACTAATCCTCATGTATCTATCTGGATCATAGGGCTTAACCGACAAACAGTTATGACACAGGTATCGACTGTCAGAACAAATACAGCATACATTTATCATGTTATTGTACCTAGATAGATTTCTCATACATAAGATGGGTAATAAACTGAGACTGTTGGCTCTATGGTAGGGATATGGTAACATAGTTTATTAGTTGATAGTACTGGTTTATCTAGGTAGACTTGAGATAGTTGCCATACAAGTTGTCAGGATGAATAGAAAGCCTTCACTGCATGATACAAATATGTGACCATCTTCATTCTCTTGAGAAAGTTCAAGTCATGAACTTTTAAGTTAAACAGTCTGAAGCTTTAATTTGTAATAAAGTTTAAGAAAGCAACTAGATTAGCTCTCATCTTTACTATAAGGATATATTTCTTCATCAGAAATGTTTGCAAAAAGTTGATAACTTATTTTTTGGGATTGGTGAAAGGATAGCTAACAAAAGCTTCTCAAATACACAACAAAAACTATGACTCTAGATCTTGTGTACTAACTCCTGGTACTACATTGATATGATATTAACCTCTTGATATGTTCAAGTTTAAGACCTCTCCTATCTCTTACTTTCAACATTTATTTGAATGGGTGAGTGAGTTTGGTATGATGTTGCTTTGAACAGTATTGAATGTGTTCGTCACCCCCTGTCAGTGTCATTACTGTGATCCAGAGAAAAGAACATCAGCACAGCCCTATATGAATACGAGGGCTGGTCAAAAAGTTCTAAGCCTGATTAACTTTCAACTATGGGCCATAACAAAGTGAACTAGTCAATTTAGTACATTGTTTGAGTAGTTCATCGCAAGTGTCTTTGGTGAGTTAAAGCCGTTTGTATATTAGTGACAGCCAGTTGAATGTGATAGGGGTCCAAATGGACACAGAAATGGAAAAGAACAAGTACCAAGCAGTCATCAAGTTTTTGACTTTGCAGAAAAGGACTCACCAAAAAATTCATGACTGCATGTCACAAGTGTATGGGGATAAGTGCCCTAGCTATTCCACTGTTAAATGTTGGGCAACTATGTTTAAGGCTTGTAGAACATTTAGCCTTGATGATGACCCTAGGGCTGGACGTCCCTCAGCTTCCATCAGTGAAGATTCAATCAAGGACATAGAAAAACTTATACTGATAGATGTATTACCATTGCTGAACTGAGGAAGAAACAGGTCTCAGCCATGGATCCATGGATCACAAATTAACTATAAGTTACTGTGCTTTGTTATATTTTGTCTTTATTTAAAATCTCTGATACATGCCTTCTACAACTCACTAATACCTGTAAAAGCAATAGGACACATGTGCATTCATATGCCAGTTGACATCACACGACTTTATTTGATTGGCCTGAACTTTGCTCTCTTGGTTGGAGATGAGCATTGACTTTTTAGGGTAAGGGACACCTTTCAAACAAAGATGGTGCAGAACTTGAACCAAGGGTCAAAGGACTTAGTTTACACTGAGGACATGTCCAAGACCAACACGGGTGGCCTATAAACA